TGATGATGATGAAGATGATGATGATGATGATGATGATGATGATGATGATGATGATGATGATGATGACATTGTGATGACATGATGACGATGATGCTGCTGATGATGATGATGATGGTGATGATGATGATGATGATGATGATGATGATGATGATGATGATGATGATGATGATGATGTGACTGTTTCGAGCCACGTCTGCAGCTTCCTCCCGCGTGCCAGTGTCCTGGTTCATCAGGGTCCCCGTCTGCGGGTCCCCCGCAGAAGACGGGAGAGGGAGGTGACCCCAACCCACCCTCCTCCTCCTCCTCCTCCTTCTCCTCCTCCTCCTCCTCCTCCTCCTCCTCCTCCTCCTCTCCTCCCTCCTTCTCCTTCCTCCTTCCCCTCCGACTCTCCAGCGATGGACAGTTTTCGCCATGCCTGCTTGCCCTCGTGATTTCAGCTGCGCCGCGCGTGCCATCATGTACAGGGCGGTTATCACTTCTGCTTCATGTCAGGCCCTGGTGTGTATGTTTGCGGACCGTGCTGGTGACGATAATTGCCTTATGACGTGGGCGGAAAACCACTTGCTTCAGCAAAGTATGCTCGGTCAGATTTTGGGGAACTGCAAGCTGCTCAGTTCCATCCCACGGTTCCCGTCTGAACGAAACAGAAATCAGCGGGCTGTTACCTGGTAGCTGTTTGACAGGCTTGATGGCCCAATGAGTGCGGCCCTTGCTCTTTTCTCTCCTGATGGTCCTTCAGCCCCATGGTTCTCGAGAAGCTGTTCAAACACGGTGTTGCTTTACGGGTTGATGACCTTCCCAGCGAGTATTCCATATTTGCGGAAATCGGGAAAGTGGCGCCTGTTTCCAAGGTATCGGCCTATGTCAAGCGGTGTTTGTTACGTGGGCCGCCCCATCCAGGTTTGACTGCCCAACGCGCTGCTGTCTGTCGTATCAGGCTCCTCCAGGAGACAACATGCGCCATATGCTCGACGGCCCCGTGTTTTCGCTCTTGTTCCTCTCCCTCCCGCTTCTGCAGGCCGAGTTCTGCTCAGGTGACGGCTTCTCCCGAATCCGTTTATGGGAGCTTGCGCCGATGCCGTTTGAAGATCTTCTAAAAGCTATTTCGTATATCGCTGTGACTTTCACTGATTATCACGACCTTAGGCGTTCCACTCCCTCTCGTCCTGACATCTTGTCGGCCATAAGTGCGCGATTGCACCAACAAATTCGCCGATGCGATGCGTTCGCTCTTGTGGTGGGCACGCCTTCTGTGCTGCCCACCGAGTGGCGCTGGCGCCCTGGTCCGTGAGCGTCGGGACCTCAGCGGGACCCTCGGGTTCGTTGCGTGCTTGAACGTCTTTTGGTATGTGCGTGTGTGGGGGACGCCCTCGTCTTAGCTCTTCTCTCTTGCACGCCGGATTTGCCTATCGGTTGCCCCGATTTGCTCCACGCTTGTGCGCATTGCCTCTGCCACGCCGCCGACGGAAAGTGTGTGTGTGTGGTCGGGGTTCGTCCGCCTTGCCGCTGGGGGGGACACGCGGGCTTTGTGATATCTGGCGTCTCCCTCCCGCGAGCCACAGCATAGAGTCGACCATGCATGCGCGATTGCACCTGCGAGCTCGCAGGTGCGCTGCGCCCACTCCGCTTGTGGGCACGCCTCGTCTGCTGCCACTGCGGGGATGCCTGTCGGGGGCCACATGCGAACCCTACCCCTACCCCCACGGCTTCTGAGGGGGAGGGTGGGGTTCACTTCGTTTGGGAGGGTTCGCGTGTGGCCCCCTAGGGACAGCTCCCTCGAGGGGCATCGGATTTCCCTCGTCACTTGGACCTGTCTCTTCTCGTCCCCTGCTCTTGGCCGCCCGTCCCCTCGCGCGTGGCTGGGTCATTTCCTCCTCCTCCTCCTCCGTTTCCTCCTCCTCCCCCTCCTTCTCTACGGTGGTCGTAGTCTTCTTCTTCTTCTTCCTCCTCTTCTCCCTCTCCTCCTCCTCCTCCTCCTCCTCCTCCTCCTCCTCCTCCTCCTCCTCCTCCTCCTCCTCCTCTCCTCTCCTCCCCGCGGACGTGGTGGCCCCTGCTGCTCCAGAGGGGGCTTCCGCAGCGAGGCGGTCCCGGGTGCCCTCTCCGACCCAGGCCCTCTCCTCCCCCTCCGTCTCCGTCCCCCCCCTGCGGGAGGAGGAGGAGGAGTAGGAGGAGGAGGAGGAGGAGGAGAAGGAGGAGGAGGAGGAGGAGGAGGAGGAGGAGGAGGAGGAGGAGTTGGAGGAGGAGGAGGAGGAGGAGCCCTCCCCGTCCCTCCGGTCCTGCTGCTCCTATCCTAGCCGCCCTCTATCCCTGCGGCAGTGGATCGGGGAACGGGTAATGACATAAACATAAAATCGGAGGTCTGCGCGGATTTCGCTGATGCGCGCTGGGGCCCCCTGGAGACTTTCAGACGAGTATGGGTGGCGCTTCTGCCAGAGTGGCAGTGTGAGAGTAGCCCGCGTTCTATTCAGCAGGAGCGTTTCAAGATATGGACCTGCGCAGCGGCGCTGAGGAGAAGGGGGGGGGGCAGGAGGACGAGACGGAGGAAGGGCGGGAGCGGGGGAGGAGGGGTTGGAGGGGAGGAGGGGAGGGGGAGGAGGAGGAGGAGGACCACAGTAAACCAAGATGTATCAACGATGCTTCAACACGCCCTCCCGTCGGAAGTCCATCCTCATCAGTCCCGACAGGCACAGGAGGAGGAGGAGGAGAGGAGAGGAGGGAGGGGAGGAGGAGGAGGGGAGGAGGAGGAGGAGGAGGGGGGGGGAAGGAGGAGGCGAGGAGAGGAGGAGGAGGAGGAGGAGGGGAGGAGGAGGAGGAGGAGGGGGAGGAGGAGGAGGAGGAGGAGGAGGAGGAGGGAGAGGAGGGAGGAGGAGGAGGAGGAGGGGGAACGGCGAGCGCCTCTCGGGATTGCAGCTCTGTCGGGAGCCCCGGGGTCGGCCATGAGCAGCGCTCCATCCTTCGAACTACAAGGCATGCTGCGAGGCGGGGCCACGAAGTTCAAGGAAGCGTCCAGCGATAATTCGGCTTTGCGGGAAGGCACCCTCCATTCGTGTATACAGCAGCTGCACAATCTCACGCTCGTGGTCGTGACGTTGGTAGTGATGACGTCTCAAGCGGAAGCGCTATTTTGAAAAGGACTCGCCCTCCATCCTTGTAACTGGTGCACAAGTTTGGACGCCAGCTAATCAAATGTGAGGAGCTTTCAGGCGAGGGCCCCGTTTTGAACAGGCACCTCCCTGCATCCGTGTAGTTGTCGCGCAGTTTTGAGCGTCCACTTGTAGAATTTGCGGAGGTCTGAAACAAGAGTCCCGTTTTGAAAGTGCACCGCCCTCCTCCATCCGTGTAGCTGTTGCAAGGTTTGTAAGTTTCGATCATACATGTGAAGATGTCTCGGATCGGCGCCCGCTTTTGAAGAGGAAGCGCCATCCATGCGTGCGACTTTTACTTGCCTGTTTTGAAGACGAGCATGTGCGGCGTTAAGGCGATTGCCCGATTTTGACAACGCCAGAACAGGGCGAGGAGCAAGTGGAGAATTGGGGAGGAGCCCGAGGACCTATAACCCCGAAGGGCCCTGGCCCCCCTCATGCCGTTCGGGGGTGGGGGGGCCCTTCGGCTGCCCCAGGCCCGAGGAGGAGGGGAGGGGGGGCGGGATGGCCGCTTCCAAGAGGGCAGGTCCGAGTAGGAAAGAGACGTGGGTGCAGCCTGAGAGGAAACAGCACAAATAGACCACGCAGCCGGGGCACGGAGCTCGTCGGAGCCGAAGCAGGAGGAGGAGGAGGAGGAGGAGGAGGAGGAGGAGGAGGAGGAGGAGGAGGGGGAGGAGGAGGAGGAGGAGGAGGAGGAGGAGGAGGAGGAGGAGGAGTAGGAGGGCGATGAGGATGAGGATGATGAGGACGAGTGCGAGGTGTTCAATTCGGTGGGGGTGAAGCAGGTTTTTCATGATCAGAATCAGGACGACAACGATATAATGATGATGTGTAATGGCACTGTTATTGACAATGATAATGATGGTGATGGCGGTGGTGATGGTGGTGGTGATGATGAGGATGATGATGATGCTGCTGCTGTTGCTGGTGATGACGAGGATGATGATGATGATGCGCAGGCGAAGCATGATGATGTGACACATAATGCTGCTGCTGATAAGGATGCTGCGGATTCTGATGCTGATGATGATGCTGCTGATGCTGTTGTTGTTGCCGCCATCGTCGTCGTCGTCGTTGTTGTTGTTGTCGTCGTCGTTGTTGTCGTCGTTGTTGTTGTTGTCGTCGTCGTCGTTGTTGTCGTTGTTGTTGTTGTTGTTGTTGTTGTTGTTGTTGTTGTTGTTGTTTCTGTTGTTGTTGTGGTTGTGGTTGTTGTTGGTGGTGTTGTTGTAGTTGTGGTTGTTGTGGTTGTTGTCGTGATTGTGATGGTTGTCGTTGTTGCAATTGTTGTTGTTGTTGCTGTTGTTCTTCTTCTTGTTGTCGTTGTTGTTTCTGTTGTTGTTGTGGTTGTGGTTGTGGTTGTGGTTGTTGTTGTTGTTGTTGTTGTTGTTGTTGTTGTTGTTGTTGTTGTTGTTGTTGTTGTTGTTGTTGTTGTTGTTATGGTCGTCTTTGCTGTTGTTGTTGTCGTTGTTGTGGTGGTTGTTGCTGCTGTTATTGTTGCTGCTGTTGTTGTTGTTGTCGCTGTTGTTGTTGTTGTTGTCGTTGTTGTTGTTGTTGCTGTTGTTGTGGTTGTTGTTGTTGTTGTTGTTGTTGTTGTTGTTGTTGTTGTTGTTGTTGTTGTTGTTGTCGTTGTTGTTGTTGCTGTTGTTGTTGTTGTTGTTGTTGATGATAAGGATGATGGCGAGGATGAGGATGAGGAGCTGAAGGTGGAGGAGGGCGAGGCCTTGCCAGGCGCGCCTCGCCAGGGCACCGCCCGCGCCTCGGCGCGGCCTCGGCGCTCCTCCGCGCCTCGGCCTGGGCCACCGCGCGCGCGCGCAGCTCGGCGCTCGCCTCTTCGCGCCCCCGGCCCGCCCTGGCGAGGCCGTGCTCGAGGTGTGGGCCACCGGCGCCTCGTACGAGGAGGCCGTCGCGGACGCTCTGGCCGCGGGCGGGGCGGCGGCGCGGGCGCGGAGGCCGCGGTCCCCCGCGGGCGGCCCCCCGGGCGCGGCCCATTTCGCGCGAGCGCCTCCCCCGTCTCTCTGTGGGCGGCGGCGGCGGCGGCGATTGAGGACCACGAGGGCGGACGAAGCAGCAAGGAGGAGGAGGAGGAGGAGGAGGAGGAGGAGGAGGGGGACGACGACGACAAGGACGACGACAGTGACGGACGATGACGACGCCGGCCACGACGGACGACGACGACGACGGCCACGACGGCAACAACAATGACGATCGACGGACGTCAATGATCCCGATGACCTTCAAATGGATGCGACGACGGACGACAGACGACGACGAAGACGGCGTCCGACGATGACAACGACGACGACGGATGACGACTATGACGACCACCCTGGTCGACCAAGACGGACGACAACGGCGACGGAAGACAACGTCGACAACAACGACGACGACTACAGTCACGACGGACGACGACGACGTCGACTGACGACGACGACGAGAAAGATGACCACGACGACTGCTTCCACGGCGGACGAGCACGACGGACGGCGGGCGACGGCGACCGACGACGACAACGAAGACTCTGCCGAGAACGATGTCCACGACGGACGGACGACGACCTCGATGGACGCCAGCGACGGAGGACGACGGACGACGACGATGATGACGACGATGGCGGCGGTGCTGACGACGACGACGACGACGACGACCACGACGGGAGAGCGCCACGGGTTCGTGGCTGGCCGCGGCGCGCCGCGCGCCGCCACGGAGGCGTCGCCGCCGCTGCTGGCGGTTTCCTCGACGCCGTCGCCGTCGCCGCCGTCGCCGTCGTCGTCGTCGTCGTCGTCGTCGTCGTCGTCGTCGTCGTCGTCGTGGTCGTCGCTGTCGTCGTGGTCGCGGTCGTTGTCGTCGTCCTCATCGAGGTCGTTGTCGTCGTCCTCTCCGGATGTTTCCTGCGGGTTTCCATGGGGGACGCGGCCGGGCCGAGGCGGCGGTTCCTGGCGCCGCCGCTCACCTTCCAGATCCGCTTCGCGGCCTTCGGCAGGACCGCCACCATGGAGGACAAGGGAAGGTTCCCTCCTGTGTGGTGGGGGGATCAAGGTAGGAAGAACCACCCCGACCCCTACAATCGGCGTGTCCTGAACAGCCATGGGCGTCTGTTGAACAGGCATGACCCTGTTCGGTTCCTTTCTTGAGAGCGTCTGGTTGCGCTCACTAGGCTTCCCTTGTAGAGGTGCGTACCATGAGAGCGGTTCTTTGCCCTGTCGCGGGGTTGGAAGAGGGGAGCGCGCGTGTGGGCAGATGAGTGGGACGGGGGAGGAGAGGAGATGGTGAGATGACAGGAGGAGGAGGAGGAGGAGGAGGAGGAGGACGCAGGGGGGGAGACGAACATGGCTGATGATGATGCTACTGATGCTGGTGATGATGATGCTGCTGCTGATGATGATGATGATGATGATAATGATGATGCTGATGATGATGATAATGATGATGATGCTGGTGATGATGATGCTGCTGCTGATGATGATGATGATGATGCAAATGATGATGCTGATCATGATGACGATGCTGATGCTGCTGATGATGCTGATGATGGTGATGTTCCTGATGCTGGTGCTGATGCTGATGCTGCTGCTGATGATGATTGTGCTGCTGACGAATGATGGTCGCATGGCTGTCGAACGACAATCAACGTCTACGTGGGCACAGGCAGGGAGCTGACCACGCTGACATGCAGCACCAGGTGGACCTCGCAGCGCACTGCGGCAAGTATTGCTGCACCCTGCCGCGTGCTGCATCACCTGCGAGTGAGACAGGAGCGAACTGTTCCAGGCACTGCGGGCCCGAGGAGGAATGAGCACAACATGCCAGGGGCGGTTATGCTGATACTGGTGAGCCAAAGAGCACCGTCACCCAATATAGGAGGGACTGCAAGCGTGAACACCACGAAGATCGCACCCGCGAGCTTGAACATCGTGAACGTGCCGCCCGCTAAGCGCGTGGACGCCACGACGCTGCGGCCCATGAGCGTGGGCACAGGCGTGATCACCACGAAACTGTAGCCCACGAGCGTGACGGCCGCGAAGATGCCGCCCACAAGCGTAAACACCGAGAAGCTTCCGCCCTCGAGCGGGAACGCAACGAAGCTGCCGCCCGCGAGCGTGAACGCCACGAAGCTGTTGCCCACGAGCGTGAGCGCCACAAAGCTGCCACCCCGCTCGCGAGCGTGATCATCACGAAGCTGCCGCCTGCGAGCTTGTAAATCACGGTGCTGCCGCCCACGGGCGTGAATGCCACGATACTGCCGCCTACGGGTATGAACGCCACGAACCGGACGCCCACGAGCGTGAACACCGCGAAACTGTCGCCACGAGCGTGGGACACCACGAATCTGCCGTCCACAAGTGATCATCTCGACGCTGCCGCCCACGAGCGTGACCTGACCGGCGCGAAACTGCCGCCCACGAGCGTCGGCGCCACGACACTGCCGCCTACGAATGTGCACGCCACGGAGCTGCTTCCCACGAGCGTGCATACCGCGAAACTGCCACCTACGGGCAGGATGACCACGAAGTTTCCGCCATCGTGGTTGAACACCACGAAGCTGATGTTCACGAGCGTGAGCGCCACAGAATCTGCGCAGGATTGGACGAACATGGTTTCAACGTAGCTTCCTCTTTTGAGCATGAGCATGAAGACCACGAAGCTGCCGTCCACATTGTGAAAGACCGTGATAGTGCCGCACACAGAGAAGATGATGGGCCTGCTTGTTCGCGCACGATGGCCACAACGTTTGTGCATCCAGCGGGGGAAGGTGGGGGGCGAGAAACACCAATGAGCGATTATACCGTGAAACCACAAAAAATCCAATCGGATTATGCAGATCCATATTTCCACGATGCCCTGCCACGCCTTCGACAGAGCGAGTGGGAGCTGGACATAGAACACCACGTTACAGCATGATGGTAATACCACAAGGTGGGTGTCAGACGATGCGACGGCGCAACGGTGGTTTCTTCATTCAATAGCAGCGGTCGATTTGAATTTGTGGCCAGAGGAGGGTACAGTTGTGGCACCAGATGGACAGGCCAAGCCCATCGACTGCCTGGCGCCGTTGCCGCCAGCGTACGAGGGACACTTGGATAATCTTTCTGCTGATCGTTATTGTGATGGTGGTGATGACGGTGGTGCGGAGAATGAGCTGGGGAGGAGAGGTTGACGGTGAAGGATGGCGGGGGGAATAATGAGGATGATGAGGACGGGTGAGGTGGAAGAGGGGGAGGAAAGGGAGAAGGGAAACGCTTAATTTTCTTCTTCCTCCTCTTCTCCTCCATCGCCTCCTTCTCCTCCTCCCCGTCTTCCTCCTCGTCCTCGCGAGATCCCCTTTTCGGAGGTCATGAAAATTAGTGAGCGCCTTTCAGATAAACATGGAGACGAATTCCCCAGACAGTTCTTGCACTTTGGGGTTCTTGCTAATTTTCCGAAGAGCTGGGCCTGAGTGTTGGACCGGCGGCTTTGCCGCCGTCGCCGCCCCGTCGCCGCCTCGTCGCCGCCAGTCGTCTGGGCCTGCGTGTTAGTCCAGCGGCTATGTCGCGGCCGTCGCCGCCCCGTCGCCGCCTCGTCGCCGCCCAGTGTTTTGGGCCTGCGTGCCGGTCTGGCGGATAGGTCGCCGCCGTTTCCGCCGCGTCGCCGCCTCGCGTAGATTTTTTTTCTTAAGAATAGACTCTAGCCCTCCCCCGGCTTTATCGGTCCACCTTTTCGTGTTGCAATTTATGTATGATGCTGCCCCATCGTCCATCCTAAATATGAAATCACTTTATCTCAGCCCAGCTGGTATCGACCCCCCCCGCCATTCTGTGCAAAACATACTATGCGCGCACATTCACATTATTAGTTTTCACGAGTCCCGTGCAAAAAACGAGACGAAGCGCGCACTCGCGCGTCGTCGTGCGCGCATGCCGAATTCCTCCATTCGGTTTCGGAGGGATATGTCAAAATCAAATGTCCAAACAACATATCAAAACACATGGTTTCGCAACACGGCTTTTCACACAGAACGTGCGCGCGAGCTTTTGCGAATTCTTAGAAGAACCATTGTTTCTTCCAACATGTTCAGAACATGCTATCAAACGGGCTTCGCGCGCGCATGTCCAAGTCGTTCGAACGCCCTTGCGCGCGTGCCGTCGCGAGAATCCTTTGCAAACGCATGGTACGAAATGTGCGCGCGCGTCGTCGCGCGCGCATGCCGAAATCCTTCAAAAACCGATTCCAAAACCGATTGTCCCGAAAACATTGAAACACATGGTTTCGCCACATCAGTTTTCCTGAAAACGTTGCGCGCGCTCTTGCGAATCCCTCAGAAAACCATAGGTTTTCTTGTATTTTCACGGAATCCTGGCAAACGGGCCCCTGACGCCGCATGCCGACATCATTCGCGCGTCCGTGCGCGCGTGTTGGAGGGGCACAACCCGCATAAACAAAAACCATGCGGGCTACTTTCGCGCGTCGGCAGCCTTCCAAAACCTTCGTCACCGACGCGAGGACGCCGTCATCGTCGTCGGCGGGATCAGCATCGGCGCCCGCACTGGCCGCGCCTTCGTACGCGAGCATCGTCGCCAGCATCGCCATTATCATCGTCGTGTCTACCGTTGTCGCCATTGCCATGATACCGCTCCCGCCCATGTCGCCGACCCGCAGTGAAGTGCCCGCTGGGATGCGCCCAGCGGTCAGCGGCACCGCGGCCGCGTCGGTGGCGCCAAACTAGCTGGCCGCTGCGCGCGTGTGCTAAGGCTGGCGCGGCCGCAGAGATGCACATGGGTGTTGCAAACCAAGTTGCGGGTGGGTGGGTGGGATGTTTGCAAGAACATTGGACGTGCCAGTTCGTTTGTTTCAGTCAATTCTCCTTCCTAAACAAGAGATAGGTTCTACCACCCTCCCCCCCCTGGACTTAATGACCCCCCTTTGCGTATTGCAATTTACGTATGAGTCTGCCCCATCGTCCATCCTAGCTGTGAAGTCGTACTATCCCAGCTAGGCCGGTATCGCCCCCCCGGCCACCCTCTGCAACAAGTACTATGCGCGCACACTCGTTTATCAACAATCATAAAGATCCAAGGATCCATTGCGAAACAGAAGGCGAAGTGCGCACGCGCGCGTTGTCGCGCGCGCATGCCGCAATCCTTCAACAACTTTCGGTTTCGGGAGGATATGTCAAAATCGAGTATCCCCCAAAACATTCAAAACACAGGGTTTCGCAACGAGGATTTCCCAAACAACTCACGCGCGCTTTTGCGAATACTACAGACAGCCATCAGTTTTGCAACATTTTCAGAACATGCTACCCAACGCCCTTGCGCGCGTGTTGGGTTGGCACGATCCGTGTCGAATAATTCTATGCGGGCCGCTCTCGCGCGTCTGCCGCGCGTGCACTTTGAATTCCTTCCAAAACCGTCGTCGCGGACGCGAAGACGCCGATATTGTCGTCGGCGTGATCCGCGTCGGTGCCGTCACTGGCTGCCCAGTCGTCGTTGTCAGCATCGTCGCCGGCATCGCTACTATCATCATCGTGTCTACCGCTGTCGACGTTGCCGTGATACCGCGCCCGCCCCAGTCGTCGCCTTGCAGTGAAGTGCCCGCTGGGGTGTGCCGAGCGGTCAGCGCCGCCGCGGCTGCGTCGGCCGCGCCAAACTAGCTGGCCGCTGCGCGCGCGAGCATGCGCGGGCTAGCGCGGCCACAGAGATGTACCAGCCAACACCAAGCACTCATCGCAATCGCTCCCGCATGGGTTTTGCAAACCAAGTTGCCGGACAGAAAGACTTTTTTCGTGTTGCAACTTACATATGGGTATGCCCCATCGTCCATCCAAACTTTAAAATCGTACCATCCCAGCTAGGCCGGTATCGCCCCCCCGCCATCTTCTGCAACAAATGCTATGCGTGCACACTCGTTTATCACAAACCATAGGTTCTCAAGCGCGCGCGTCGTTGCGCGCGCATGCCGCAATCCTTCATCAATCTTCGGTTTCAAAATCGAATGTTCAAACAACATACAAAAGCGCACGGTTCCGCATCT